ACTCAGCTTTGAGGGAACATTGGTTGCAATCCCAGGAGATCTCCAGCCAAAACCTGGAGGGTGGCAATCCCTACATACAATACACATGAAGTTGCCTTATGCCGAATCAGACCTTTGGTCCATCAGAGTCAGTATTGTCTACTCAGACTGGCAGCGGCTCTCCAGGGTCTCAGGCAGAAGTCTTTCACATCCCCTACTGCCAGATCTTTTAACTGGAGATACCGAGGACTGAACCTGGGACCTTCTGCATGCCAAGCAGATGCTCTGCCAATGAGCCACAGCCCCTCCCATCCACAGTGCACACCTGATCTTTCTTTATATGTGCACTGAATAATCCTCGGGTTACGTTACACGCATGCACAGCTCAGTGTGTGATTTCAACCCCACTGTCAGAACCCACAGCCAACAACGGAGTACACACTTCATAGAAATGTAATACTTTTATTGAAGAGCCATAGATGCATTAACACAGTCACTGTTAAGAGTAACCGTTGCCTATTGAACCTAATGAGATATAGGGCATTCGTATGCATCCCCCCACTGCGCTGGGCAGTTAGGCACCCTCCCCCGCGCGGGCTAGAGCTGGTAAGCGTTATTACTATGCGAAGCTGGGAATTGCTCTGCTCCCACGGTTGGGAGGCAACACACCTCGCCTCCTGTTCTTCTTTAGAGATAAGCATTACTGCGCCAAGGAAGAGTCAGGAATGCGAAAGCGATTTACACAGACACTGAAAGAACATCCCCACCCCCATGGCAGCACAGCTGACACCCACAAGCAGAATTTGGAAGGGGGAGGGAGCTCTGCAGGGATATGATTCCCTCCCCCTAAAACGGGCATGTCTTGCAAGAGAACGGATCTCCGTTGCCTGGAGATGAATTGTAATTTGGGGAGATCTCCAGCCGCCACCTGGAGGTTGGCAACCCCAGGTGCCCTGCTCCCCTTTTCCTTTGAAATGACAGCATCCCTTTCCTCAAGGAGCGGGACAAATGTACAAAACATGTACCAGCGTGCAACAAGCAGAACATTGCGTCAGGTGTGGAACACTAAGAGGCTTTTCCGTTTTTAAATGGATTTATAGATCTATCCCTATTTCATTCAGTCTAGTTCATAACATTAAATTGATCTCTGCAATATCATGCCAGCCGACTGTTACTACTTCAGCGTGAAAAACAGCACAAGGGAGGAAATGCTGAGAATTTCAACACCTTTCTAATTGGTACAAATTGTCCCTGCATGCACCATCTGAACTAAAAGCTTAATTCTGTCATTCTTTTGGCTATTTCCTGCATGCAGATGCCTAGTTCACTAACTATTCGTCTTATTTAGGAAAATGCATTCAAATGTGGTTCATTGGAAGAATTCTTTCCAGAGGTTGACAGTCCCAGATGGGAAAATACCTGGAGATTTTGGGGGGTGGAGTCCGAGGAGGGCAGGGTTTGGGGAGGAGAGGGACTTCAATGGGGCATAATGCCATAGAGTCCACCTTCCAAAATGGCAAGCCTAGTGAAGGGCATTGTGGGCTGCCCATCACCCAGCGTCCAGGAATTCTAGTTCTTTCCGTCAATTGCCACTGCAATCTCCAGGTGGCACCTGGAGATCTCCTGCTATTTCAGTTGATCTCCAGATGACCAAGATCAGCTCCCCTGGAGAAAATGGCTGCTTTGGAGAGTGCCCTCCATGGCATTGTACTTTGCTGGGATCCCTCCCCTCCCCAAACCCCGCCCTCCACAGGCTCCACCCCCAATATCTCCGGGTATTTCCCAATCCAGAGCTGGCAACCCTAAGGACTGCTTAGGAGCAGCCTTAAACAATGTTGTTACTGTACTTCTCTAAGCACTGCAAGCCACCTTTTTAAAAGTGGGAAGGTAAAATATCAGGTTCTTAAATAGAGGAATAAATAATGACTATGCAATATGCTTTAAAAAATCTTCATAACATTATTACAGATAGATAGTCCAAGAAAGACTCTCCCAATGTGTTTGGATTTCACTTTGGTTGAGATTTGTTAGTAACAGCTGGGGATGTGCCAGCGCTCCTCACGTTTCAGGCCCTAATCTTATTAAGATTATTTTCATTTCCTTTTTCTAAAGATCTTACTTACTCACCTCAGACAGTGGTTGAGCTGAGGTTCACAAATCATTGTCATGTAAATATTAGGAATGTGTTCCCAACTATAAACACAGTTAGATAAAGCTTCCTTCAGCATGTCCCTCCCTAGAAGGTTCCAGAAAAAGTTGGTCACCTGTCTTTTAGAAATACTTTAAGTGAAAGTTACTTCTCTTAGGGAAGACGGCTTACGCTTCATGATTCACTGAATCCATTTAAATTCATGGACATAAGATATGGAGATGCCCACAGATGGCTTTAACAAAGGATTAGAAAAATTTATGAATTCAGCTATTAACCGTGATAGATAAATGGAACTTCCACATTCAGAGGCAGCAGACCTCTGAATACTAGAATCAGGCAAAAGCAATAACAGAGAGAACTTTTTCCTTCACCCTATACTTTCCAGAGGTAATTTATATGGCTATTGTTGCAAACAGGATGCTGGATTAGATTGGTCTGATCCAGCAAGGATATTCTTAGATATTAATAGTGAATGCATCAGATTTCCATTGCAGACTATAGTTTAGCAAAGCATCTTCAAATGCATGGGAAGGTTCACTTTCCATAACTGACAATGGACTAGCCTTGGTTGTGCATGTAATTATGCTACAACAGTTTGAGTCTAAGAAATGCTGCCTTTTCTAAGACTTTCTCATGCAACCAAAAAAGCATAAAATAGATAAAAGTTACACCTTCTGGTTACTTGTAATTGCTTATATACCCAGAATCTGTGGACTCCTTTTCAGTAAACCAAAGTGATCCTGAATTCAGACCTCTTTATGCTTTGCGCCACCTTGTCCGTAAAAATTATATTGTGTTATTTAAAAGGTTTTGGTTATCTCTTTACACAGTGGACTGCTTTTCTCTCTTTATGCACTGAACCTGTAGCATTAAAACCCGTGTCAAAAACCATGTGTTGCAGATAACATTAAGTTGTTGTACACTTCTTCCTCTGAACTAAATGGCTGCCTGACATTTGTTAAGAACCTTCAGTGCTGCCGATCCTCTGGCTGAAATCCTGCACATAAATTAGACTGCTTTCAATCCCACTGAAGCCAATGGGGAGTAAGCCAGCCACTATTTCTACCATAGTTCTGAGCTTTGTGGTCCTCATTCTTCAAGCTATAAGTTTATAGGAAGGTCTGAGTCAAAATGACCATTTTGCCCATGAATCCTGGCTAGGGTTGTCAAGGGGATGAGAGTTAGGTTTGCCATGTCCAGGTTGGGAAACTCCTGGAGATTTGGGGATGGAGCCTGGGGAGGACAGGGACCTCAGTGGAGTACAATGCCATACAATCCACTCTTCAAGGCATCAATTTTCTCCAAGACAACTGATCTCAGTAGTCTGCGGATAAGCTGTCATTACAGGAGACCCCCAGGTCCCACCTGGTGGCTGGCATCCCTAAATTCCCAGCTTTACCTAATTTCCAAAACACTTTTGCAGGTACTTCTCTGAACTATGTTTCTAAGGCAAGTGAGCAGATAAACAGTAAAAAAATATATGGGATTCTCCTTACTTTCCCCTGGTAGTTTCAAAGCTGGGTGTTTTGCTGCTGTCCGATTGCCTGGAAGATCTGTTCACTGTAGCTCCTTTCGAGCTTCTAGGAGCTTCACCTTGAAGAGGACCTTTTTTAGGTTGGCTTTGCGCAGGGATCCCCGTGTTGTTAGAAAGAGCTGGTGCCTTAGCATTAGGCATGCCACTATCATTGATTCCTCTTGTGAGATTTGTACGGGTCAAGGAATTCTTCTCCTGGGTCACTGACGGAGTTTGTAATCCTGGAGACTCCTTCGTGGGTGGCGGAGAGCTACGTGTTACCTCATCCTCATGGCTCGTATTCACCAAAGCGACTGGATTTTCTGCAGTGGGAACCGCAGGGGTTGCCACTCCATGTCTGAAGTTCTGCGTTTCAGCAGAAGTCAAACTGGGGTGGCTTATTTCTGCTTCATGGTCCATAGGTACATCCCGGGCCCTGACAGCTGAGTCGGCTTTTGTGTGCCTCCATTCCAAGAACATTAAAAACAGCACTAAGTATACCTCCCTCATCCTCACGGTTTGTAGTGTCTCTCGCGTATTCTTCCCAGGAGGCTGGTGCCACCTCTTCCCCTTCAGCTGCTGCTTTCACAACGAACCTGCAGAAATGTGCCCGGCTGCCGGTGGTTTTTATGTGCGGCAGGGAGAGGAAACAGGTTTTAGTGTTTCAAACCGGACCGAGGAAGCTTCATTTCCTGTTTCTGCAGATTCCTCGGCGACCTGTGCCCTTTTGGAAATGTGGAGCCAAAATGCCTTGGGGAGAAGCAAAGAGTCTTTGTGGAAGCTACAGGATGAGGGACAAACGGCATAATGTGAACATGGAAATATACTGTCACTGAAACCAGCTCAGGGGGGATGGGTGGGGACGAAGAATCGCTGACTAACTTCCTTTCCCTGTTGATCGGCAACAGGGAACATGAGAGATCTGTCAAATGTGTCACTTGGTTACCGAAATCTGTTTGAATGAGGCCATAAAGTTATGTCACTATGTGGACGACTCCAGAATGGCACGTGTTCATTAATGGTTTGTTTGTGTGTCTTGCTTGGCATCATGGTGGCTCTGCCGCAGCCCCTGCTCATATTGTATCATGGCAGTATTGTGTTATCCAACGGGAAAAGACCTTTTGGCATAAGTGGATCGTGTCTGCTGTTTTCAGCTATCTCTTCTGCCACTGGATCAGGCTGATTCCCACATTATGGTTCATTTATTTATTTCTTTATTTATTGTATTTGTATCCCGCCCATCCCACGAGTGAGCTCAGGGTGGGTCACATCATCATCAATAATACAGGTTGCGTCTGCTGTCTCCCCATCTTTTAGTCAGATGTGATTTGCATTTCCTCTCAATCCTCACACGCCATTGGCAAAACTCGAATCGTGCCCTGGGACCATTTAAGGTCCATAAATGGCAGGGAGGGAGACTAAAGTTCCTTCTCCCCATGCACCATGGTCCTAAGCCTAAATTCAATCCATGGTATATGACACTGCTGCATCATGTCATAGCATGAAGAGCTCTTTAGTGTTGCCAGTCTCCAGGTGTGAGCCTGTAAATCTCCCAGAATTACAATTGATCTCCAGACTGGAGAGAGAAATTCCCCTGGAGAAAATGCCTGCTTTGGTGGGTGGACTCTATGACATCATCTCCCTAAGCCCTCCCCTCCCCAGGCTCCACCCCCAAATCTCCAGGAATTTTCTGACCCAGAGCCGGCGACCCTAGTTTTATCACTACAGATGGGCCTGAAGCAATGATGCTGTGGGTCAGCTTTAGCTGCTGGAGATAGGTGTCCCTGCCACAAATTCTGTTAAGGATAACCAGCCTTATCTTGAGCCAGACCCACAGACCAAAATGTGTAACTTCAAGTGTCCCCAACCTTTTTGACCCTGTGGGTATGTTAGGAATTCTGAAACATTGCCCTAGGAGGGAGGGGGAGCCACAAAATGGCTGCTGCAGGAGGTGGAGCCAGCCACAAAATGGCTTCCACAGCTCATCTTCAGACACACAGTGAAGACCCTTTTGCTGTGGGAACTGATGCTGCCAAAGCAATGTTTTTTAAAATATGTACCGCCAATCAGATCTGTAAGGGCCAGTCAGAAGCCCTGCTGGGCAGAAGTGGGAACTGATGCTATGTTTAAAAAACAATGTTTTTAAAAATCTGCACCTAGGGTTGCCAAATCTTTTAAACTTACCCTGCACCCGGCCTCACTGGGGTTGCCAGGTCCTCACTGGCCATCAGCAGGGATTATAAATTCCTGGAGATTTGAGGGTGGTGCCTGGGGAGAACAGGGACCTCAGTGGGGTACAATGCCATGGAGTTCACCCTCCAAAGTGTCCGCTTTCTTCAGGGGGACTGATCTCTGTAGTCTGGAGATGGACTGTAATTCCAGGGGATCCTCAGGTCCCAGACTGGCATCCCCTTGCCCACTTTCTAAAACCCTTGGCAGGCAGTGGGAAAGATATTGGTGGGTGCCAAGGCACCAACCCACATGTACCACATTGGGGACCCCTTGTTGTAACTAATGAAAATAAATTCTATCAGATTTCATTTACAGACAAAATTGTTCATGAGCCTAAAATTTTCACTTATCTACTGCTTATTGGGCATCAAAACTTTCCTTATTTAACCTGTTATTGGCTAAAGCACAATTATCACTCGTATCTCCACTGAGGTAACATTTCTGAGGCAAAATATTAGTCATGCCCCACACCATTGCCCATGAGCACTAGAACTGACAGCTTAGAGACACATGTGCCTCATATTAATTTCAGCCACAGAGAAGAAGAAGTGCAGGGGCATCTGCAACAATTCACTTCAGAATAATAATGGCTGCTTATATGTGTAGTCATGCTAAAATGGCTTAATTCGATTTCAGAGTGCCATATATCATTCTGTTTTTTTCTAACTTGGCTGCTGTGTCATTTTC